AATATGCTACATTATAATAATGTATAACACATGGTCATATTCAATATATATAACTTTCTGTTCCTGTCATTATGTACAACCTTCTGTATTCATTCTACAAATAACTCTGAGGACCCACTGCATTCCAGGCACTCTGCAACACCATCACAATGGCCAATTCAAAATGCTTTTTTGAATAAAGGAAAGAGATTATATTGCCTCCCTATAAAAGACTTTTAATACACTTCATGAGAAACCAATTATTATAACACCCTTAGTCATGTCCAGACACAGATTTATCAAAAAGCCAAATTTTACCTTAAGCAAATTTAATAGCTTTCAAAACATCTCAGACTTAAGCTGTATTCAAAGTGTAGATTTCAGGAGAGGCATTGAACCTCAAACTGAAAGTCATAGAGCAATAATCAGTGATAAAAAGCCTCTTCCTCTCATCTCTGGCCCAAGTCACTGAATCTCTGCCATTTTTTAATAATTATTTCCTATTTATTCTTCATACCCTTATGGTTTGTATGTAGTTATCCCCAAAAGGCTCACGCAGTCTTAGATGGGGCTTTTTCACAGGTGGCTGAATCTAGAGTGTGTGGTGCTGGGACTAAGGACATGTAATTACTACATCAGTACACTTATTGTGTTTAGCACCCCCTAATCCCAGTAGTCTGGGCAAGGTAAAAGGGGAAGAAAGATGCTTATGTTAAGGCCCTTGTTGCTTCTGCTACCTATGGGCACAATGAACTCTTCTCTGTGATGCACCCTTGCCAAGCCATCCTAACTTGGATCCAACAAATTATGGAAATAAACCCCTACAGACTGTGAGCCAAATAAAACTTCTCCCCTTTAACTTTGGGTGTGAGGTAGATTGTCTCAGCAGTGAGAGAAAAGTAACTAAGGGAGCCCTCTAATGACACTTTGATCTATCCTATTTGAGTGATTCACTTAGCTCCTTAAGCTACATAGCCTAAACAGTGAAGAACATCTTGTGGTGCCTGAATCCTGTGTGCTTCATAGCAGTAGAAAACTGTTATATATAATTCACTAATGCAATTTAAAAATGATTGGTGGGACTACTATACAAGCCAAGTATGCCCAATCTTGCAACTGCATACATAGGTTACATAAAGTTTACGAGTTTTTCTTTTCCCAGAATTCTGAGTAAATGGGTATATTATTTTTTAGAGGCAGATACAAGTTTACTATAAATAATTTTAAATATTTTGTATAAATTTGACGTGATGTCAATGAACCTCTGTAATACCAGTAATCTGGAAGGCTGAAACAGGAGGATAGCAAGATCAAGGCCAGCCTGAGCAATTTCGTGACTCAGTAAGACCCTGTCTCAAAATTTAAGACGTTTACAAAAGGCTGGGTATACTGGGCTGGAAGATAGCTTGGAAGCCTAAATGCCTGCCTGGCAAACTCAAGGACCCAGGTTCAGTCCCCAGTACTGTATGCCGTGCTGGCCCTGCGCTGAGCCAGCCACTGAAACCTAGCATGGTGGTGCATGCCTGTAATCCCAGCACTGGGGAGGCTGAGACAGGAGGATCATGATGAATTGAGCTGCATAGTGAGATCCTGTACCAAATACATAAATGAAAGATTTTTTTAAAAAATGGCTGGGACTAGAACTCAGTGCAAAGTCTCTGGGTTCAATCCCCATTACCATACCCTCATCCAAAGAGGAATAATGAAGAGAGGAGGAGAAGGAGGAGGAAGAGGAAGAGGAGGAGGAGGAGAAGGAAGAAGAAGAGAAGGAGGAGAAAAGAGTCTGGGTAGTCTACACTAACAAAGTCTACACTAACAAGTGTTCAGTATTAGAAAGTCCAAGGTCAATTCTAATTACTAAATTCCCATTATTATGGGGGTTTTTCCTGTATTTTAGGAGTCTACAGGGTGTTCAGAGTCTCACTATTAGATCAGACTGCTAGTGATTCTCCTGTTTACAGCCTCCCAAGTGCTGGCATTACAGGAGCATGCCACCACACCCAGTCTCATTCATCATCTCAGTGTGCCCCGGCAGGGCCGGTATGGCGGGCCCGGGCATTGAACCCCAGCCCCTGAGCCTGCTTGCAGACGCTTTAATCTGCTGAGCTATTTGGCCAGCCCCAGCTAATATTATGTTTTAAAAAAGAAATTATCCAGCAAATTTTTAAAGTACTTGTTGTGAACATGAGTTTTTACTTAAAAACATTCTTTTTAACATTTTCTCAGTGTTCCTGTGTGCCAGGTGCTGCTACAGAATTTTTTCACTTTCCCCAGTTTTAGTTGAATTATTCAGTGACAAGGGACTACAGGTTTTGTGCAATATAAAACAAAAGCCAGCTCAGAGCAGGCATTGCATACACAATAGAAGTGTCCACTATCAGCTTACCCAGCTTTCCCCAAACGTTATCAGAACAGTGGCAACAATGATGAAACCAAGTGTCTTCACCATTTTCCCCATTGAAAGAACTGCAAAAACAAAAACAATTTTTAAAACTGTTTTTCCCTTTTACTGGAGATTGACAGGGCCTTCAAATGCTAGGCAAGCACTCTGACACTGGACCCATGTCCCCAGCTTTGAATTTTGTCAGCATATCACCTTTGAATTTTTCATGAGGCCACAGTGGGATTTAGATTCAAGTAGCTCCAGGAGGTCTGATGAGACTCCAGGTAATACCTAATCTTTGGGTCACCTAGAAAACTGTTACAGATGTCACCAACCTTCTATCTTCACAAAGTGATAAACTTTAAATAGAGTGATACTTGCTGAATGACACAAATATAAAAGAAATTCTCATTCTTGAAGAGATCCTTCCTGGATAATGGAGTGGAAAAGGTACAGGCTATGTAAGCAGAAAGACCTGGCTCCGTATTTTGGCTAAGACACACCCTAAGAGACCTCAGGCAACTTACTACAGTGCTCCTGATCTATGAAACAGAAATAATTTCTATTACTACATTGCAGGACCGTGGAAATTTGGAGATAATTTCTAGATATGCCTGTAATATAAGTGATAAATTAATAGTAACTCACTTTGAATATGGAGGATTATTTTTATTTTTAAAAGAAGAAAGTTATAACAAACAGGAGGTGATATGCACTGTTTTTTTCTTGCTGCCTTAATGTTTAGGCAAGCAAACAGGATTAGCAGAAAATAATAAGCTCCACTTGACATTTGGAGAAAAATTAACTTTACACAAAGGAGATCAAACCCAGGACCTTGCACATCCTAAGCAAGCACTTTACATGCCCAATACTTAAATCAACATCAGAGTTATTAGTCTTGGTGAAAAATTTTCTTCAAATTCAGAATACTTTCTGTATGCTGCCACAAGGGTGAGCTTTCACAAATTTTAAAAACCAAGAATCCTGTAAGAATGAGAAAATACTTGCATAATCTTCAAAAAAAATTTTAAAAGATATTGATTAAAGTGCCTGCAAGCAGGCACAGAGGCCAGGGGTTCAATCCCCAGGCTTGCTTTACCAGCCCTGCCCCCAGGGCATGCTGAGATGTTGAGACTGGGCATGGTGGCACGTGCCTATAATCCCCGCTCTTGGGAGGCTATAAAAGGCGGATCATTATGAGTCCCATCTAGTAGTGAGACCTTGAATATTCTGTAGACCTTTCCCTAAAATACAAAAATAAAATAAATAAATAAATTTTTAGAAAAGATAATGAAATTAACTAAATGATTTGTTAATCCGTTTTTATGTTTATATCCCTTTATCATTTGTCCTATTAATGAAGTAGTTTCCCCACTTTGATATAACTGAAAAAATAATACACAAATTGATGAGATCTCTTGGGAGTTTTAAGAAAGATCTCCATGTCCCTGGCATTAAACCCAATGACCAAAGTGACAGCAAGTCTTAGACACTTTTAAAGAATCCATGTTGATTCCACCACTTAGCAAATTGTGGAAGCCAGTGAGGTAAGAATTTAATAGACAAAAATCCCTTTTGTGTCTGTGCCAACAGGTAGTTCTTAGTCCTTCTGAAGCCAATAAAAATAGTTACAAAACTGGAGGAGTATCACTTGAATTAGGTGACAAAATTAGAGAGTGCTGCTTTGATTATAAAATATGATGGAAATTTTTAGACTATATGAAGATGATTTTACTTCACACAGTTGTACTGCTAAGTCTTCTTTGTAACTTTCCTAGAATAATACCGTGTTTTTCTAAGCACTATCTAAATTGATCCATGAACATTCTGAAAAAGTAGGTAGATAAATCAATCAAAAGGGCTAAGTCAGTTCTTTAAAAGTCACAAAGCTGGTATATGAAGACCTGGCGACTGCAGGGTTTTCCATCCTGAAGGCAAGGGCCCTCATAGAGCTCTGCGGGGCCTTGCCATTCTGCTCCTGCAGCACGCAGGAAATGGGCTGCGGAGAAGGCCTGCAACTCGGCCTTCTCGGTCCAACAGGACTCTCACTTCTGAACATGCTGAGACTGGATTTTGAATCATATGCCCTTCCACAAGAACATTAGGTTAACCTAGCCAGAAAAGACACAGCAACACAAAAGCAGAAGCACCCTGGGACTGGCAGTGTTAGCAAGAGTCTACTGATCATCAGCTACCAACTCAGTACATGCTAGGTGCTATGGAAAATATAGTAGCCTCAGTCAGACAATATGTTGGAGAAGTGAAAACAAATAGTAAAATGGTAATTTAAAGCTATCTACACATGCCCCGCTGGGCCTGCCCCTGGTGCACTGAGCCTGCCGCTGGTACCTGGTGTGGTGGCACATGCCTGTAATCACAGCACTGGTGAGGCTGAGACAGGAGGATCACTACGAGACCAAGCTGCACAGTGAGACCCTGTACCAAACATATAAATTAAGAGAGAGAGAGAGAGAGAGAGAGAGAGAGAGAGAG